TTCGACCAACGGCACCCTATAGTTTTACCGCGTAAAGACCATATCATGAACTTATTAGTCGATTATCATCATAAATTGAACTCGCACGCTGGCCCCGATTTATTGATGTCGATCTTGCGTCAGAATTATTGGATTCTTTCTGCACGTAGTTTAATACGCAATCGGGTGCACAGATGTATAGCTTGCTTTCGGGCACGCCCCAAGCCGTCATTTCCGGAAATGGCGGAACTTAGATCTTGTAGAGTGATACAATCGGTAAAGCCCTTCACGCACACCGGGTCTGATTTTGCTGGTCCGTTTAAGGTCACGCTCACTCGCGGGCGTGGTATAAGATCCACAAAGGCTTACGTCTGCATTTTCGTATGTCTAACTACTCGAGCAGTGCATATAGAACTCGTTGGTGATCTAAGCACAGCAGGCTTTATGGGTGCATTTAAAAGATTTCTATCGCGCAGAGGCCCTGTAAGTAAATTATATTCGGATAACGGTACGAACTACGTCGGTGCAAAACGTATTCTATCGGAACTACACGAGCTCTTAGCTAGCAAGTATTATAATTCGGAGTTCGCTCACATTCTAGCCGAGAACCGCATTGGCAATTGGGAGACTAATATTAAAAGTCTAAAGAGCCACTTATACCGAGTAATAGGAGATCAAATTTTGTCCTTCGAAGAGCTAAGTACGGTGCTCGCTCAAATTGAATGCGTAATGAATAGCCGCCCACTTTGTCGGACGTTATCTAGTGACCCCTCGGAACCGCTGGCTCTAACTCCAGCACATTTTTTGACTTTAACGCCTCTAAGGTATCTGCCCGCCGCGGATATGGATGAGAACAGACTTAGCATTTCCACACGCCACAAATTATTAGATCGGTTAGTGCAATCGTTTTGGAAACGATGGAGGATGGAATACTTGCATACTTTGCAGTCTCGGCAAAAATGGAACACAGCGACAGAGCCTTTAGCTGTAGGAACCGTAGTTGTGCTCACTAAGGAGAATACGCCGCCTCTCCACTGGCCGTTAGGAATCGTCGAGGAGGTCTTTCCCGGTTCCGACGGAGTAATTAGGATAGCTCGCGTTAAGACCACGGTTGGGTCTTACCTACGTCCTGTTATCCGTTTGTGCCCCTTGCCTCTTCCATAATTTAAATTAGCTTTCTAGACTGAAATTGTAGTTTAATTTAGGTAATCTTAGCGTTAGTTAGTTATTTGTTAGTCGATCTTAGCTCTAGTTGTTTAGTTATTTTTTTTGAAGGAAATCCTTCAAGGGCGGGGGAGATGGTTGCGCGGAAAACCATTCGCGTTTTTTTTATTTTGACGGTAGGAACTTGTAGAATCATTATTTCCTTTCCAAACAATATCATTCGTACCCTCCTATCGACACATCGGGGTGGTGGGGTGGGAGGGGAAAGAAGACGATTCTAGAACATCGCGTAATCACCCGAGCCGAGGATATATAAGACACGCGCGACCGATGCGCGAGCCTCTTCTCCCGCCGCAGTCGTCGTTGAACTACAACCTCCTCTTCCCGCGCGCTCGTTTGGAAACACCTCACTAGTGGAAACCGCTTTGGCCTGGAAGCAGTCGAGCTCCAGGAACCCGCCTCACCTCGTGTGAGATATCGTCGCGCACCGCCTCTCTCCGGAGTGTTCCAGAAGTCGCCGCTATAGTGATCGACAGGAAGAAGAACCCCCGGTGAGTCAATATTCCTTAATTATACCTGCTTGCTAATAGTTTAACCCGCTCCAATCTGTGTTTTTTTTCCTAGTCAAGCAGGATTCCTTTCATCGATTCGACAAGTAATAGTTTAGTTTAGGGAAGAGCGAGTGCATTGTACCGCATGCTATAGTAGTCGCTTGACGTAAGCGTAGAAGCAATCGCATATACAGTCCACTTTAGTTAATATCTCGCGTAATAGGTTTGAGGTTTGACCGGGGAACTAGATTTTCGGCAGCCTTAAACACGTGGCTCCACCATAGAGACTACTTTTCTATGAAGAAGTTTGGCATTATAGAATCAATGGCTGCGTTTGGCAGAAAAAAGCGCTAGGAAGCGCTTGTAAGCAAAATGGCGATAGTAAGCGGTAAGCGCTGTCAAATCGTAAGTAGCTATTTTCCTCTAGGACACGAAGTTAGTTAATTAGTTTTAACCGGGGAACCTAACCGAATTTAAATATATGTTTGTAAAGTATTCATATTAAAAACTTACCAATCATGAATCTTTAATAACATGTATATGTTTATTCCTGTCATTATATTACTTAAAACTAATATTGCACAAAACAACTTATAAACTTTACTTCTAAACAAATAAATAAGCAAAATGGCGGATTGTGTCAGCGCTACTGAAGTTAGCAAACGTGTCCTGGCCGAAAACTTTTTAGTTTCGCCATTTTGCTTACAAGCGCTTGCTAGAGTATCTCACGAAATAAGAGACGCACAGCGAGAGAACCGCGTCTATGCTTGCGTAATATTGCAGAAAAAGGAACGAAGTTTTGAGTCTATTTGTTAACTTCGATATAAATTAGATCCTATACGTTAATCGCAAGTTTTCATCGCAGTTATTAGATCCACGGATAACAACAGCAGGTGACAGCTTAGTGGCCTGTGGTTGATGATGTTCTAGCTTCTTACCATCTGGTGCCATATTAACTGTTGACCGTTATTGTCAAGAATTTTATATGATGTTGAAAAAACTGGCACAAACAATCCAAATCAGTGAACTTACTTCTTCATGACAACATCAGACTACATACAGCGCAATGGATGTTGGAAAAATATATAGCTAGAAACGTTTTTTCATCTACTATATTCTCTATACCTTGATCCTACATCACACCTATAACACTTTTTAAAGTTTATATAACATAATAATACGCAAAACTTTCAAATCCGAAAAAGCAGTAAAGAATACTTTTAAAGAATTTATCGATTTTCGTGCAGTAAACTTAGCAAGCGCATCAATATACTACTCACAAAATATCCCCAATGTATTATAATTATATAAAACAAATAATTTTATTAATTAAAGTCACTTTTTTGTAAAATAAAATTATTTATTCCATACAAAACGGAAGTTGCGTTGGTAAAAACCTAATAATGTTAATATCGAATGTAGGTGTCAATTTTACTTAAAAGTACAGAATCAAAAGCAATTTCTTAAAAACATTTATTGTAAAAAATTATTTACACACTAAATTAAAAATAATATTAACAAATTAAATACAAAAATAAATACTACACGGCTGTTTGTTTCCTTATGCACTGTTTTTGATAATATTATAACAAAATTATCGTTTTGGCGCAAAAAAAATTCTCTATATTTTCTTTTTTATTCTGAAGTATTTTGTTTTATTTATTCTTTTTAAATAAACGTTTTGTTTTTGTTAAATAAGGCTAAAGTATTACTGTGAGTTTAATTCAGTATATTAGTTATTTTTTCATTATATATCAGGAGCTTCAAATTAATTAAAACTAAATTAAAACTCTCTTTTCTTTATTTGCTAATAAACAGTTCACTGTAAACGGCCTCCTCGCGTAATAAGTGGGTAATAAGATAAAAAGCAGGTTCACTAGGTATACAGCATCAGAAATATCTTCATCATCATCATCATTACAGCCCTTCACAAGTCCACTGCTGAACATAGGCCTCCCCCAAGTAATGCCACAAAGCACGTTCCTGAGCCACCTGCATCCATCGACTTCCTGCATATCTTACCAGGTCGTCACTCCATCTAGTGAGGGGTCGCCCTACACTACCGGTACGAGGCTGCCACTCGAGAACCTTTCTTCCCCATCGGTTATCGGTTCTTCGAGCTATATGGCCGACCCATTGCGACTTCAGCTTACCAATCCGTTGGGCTATGCCGGTCACTCTGGTTTTACCGCGGATATCCTCATTTCTGAGTCTATCACTCAGAGAAACTCCGAGCATAGCCCTCTCCATAGCTCGCTGAGCGACCTTGAGCGTCCTCATACGGCCAGCAGTGAAGGACGTCAAAATGTACGTGTAAGAAATATCTTACACGTACATTTTGATGCCAGTCTGGGTATTTCAAGTTGTACATACGAGATATTATACCGCCAAAGACAAAGTCAAATTAAAATCTGTATATTCAATTTACGCTTGATAAAAGCTCTTTACTCTACTCTTTAAATCTACACCGCTTCGCAAGGAAAATATCTCAGAGTAGAACTGGCCACTTTTTAAAGTCATTTTATAATTTTGTTTTCAATTACAACTTATATTAAAATAATACAGTAAAAGGTCGATAAATATTTTATAATGTCCGTTTTATCAAATTAATATCAGTAGATAGGGGACTGAGAAGCGAATATATCTTGGAGACCAGCGATCTTCATAGATTTCCCATTGTTGACCCTTACAACGGCAAGCTGATGAGATGAAGTGATAGATAATTCATGGTACTTCCAGGGATATTTACTTCATTTATAAAGTTCTGAAGGTAAACGGATACAGCTAATCACGCCTGCAATCGCTTTCGAGAATTCAAAGAAGATGATAATGCGTCTGTAATTATATTAGACCTGCACAGAGTGTATGTGCGTGCGTGTGTGTGCGACGGTGAGCGCGCACGCGCGGGCGTTCGGGTGCGCGTGTGTGAGAGTGTGTGTGTGTGTTAACGCAGTATTGCTTTGCGGCAAGAACAGGGTGGTACCATTATAGAAATAGACTCCTATAAATTATTATATGACACTTGTTAGAAATTTTTTATCATACTACGTCGTTTTTGATAAAATTTGAGCTTAATATAAGTTTTCTCACTGAACAATACTTTAGTAATTTATTACCTTACTTTGGTTTAGTGATTTAATTTCTAAATACCTTTTTAGAACGCTTCTTTCAATTTAGCACGGTTATAAAAAGAGTCACTAGTTCAACAAATTAGTATGTATGCACGTTAAGACTTAATTTTTGTTTTATCAAAAGATGTAATAACAAAATATTCCTCAAACGAAGGCATTAGATTAAACTAAGTAATCAACGTTCTATTCTCTCTGGACAACAGGCCGGAAACGGTCGACTCATATTTCCACGGCGAAAGTATCCCAGTTCAGTACCTGGTTCACATCTGAAAATGTCAAAATAATATTATATTAATATAGGTTTGTATTTCCGTGTAGCGAAAGCGTTAGAGAATTAACAAACTAGAGGTTTAAACAACCCCTTAACATCTCATGGGTTTTGTAAGAGGTGAAAAATGGATACTAAAACAGGAGGTGAGTGTAACCGTGTTGATAACAGCTGTTAAAGTTTCCCTCTGTCCCCTCTTACATTTACGGGACGATATGGGGTAGTGGATATTCTTTTACCGCCTATACGCGGTAAGGTAATTCAAATTCATCAAAGCTAACTGCCAGTGATATCTGATGTATAATTTAAAGGTTTAATTCACCCACGGCTCACGCTTATTGTATTACTATTTTGACTGAATTTGAGCCTAATGAGGTTGCCATCCCCAGCAAGCGGGATGGCAACCGTTTCAGTTTTTTCTTTTTAGTCTTTATTAGGAAGATGCTGCTGCCCATGTCCTGATACGTTTCCCTCTGTCGCTTCTTACGACACCCACGGGGCGATATGGGGTGGTGGATACATTTACATCTCCGCTAATCGATAAACATCGCCACTACCCGGTAAGTAGATAAGGTCTACTTACTAATCTTTCTAAATGCTTTTTGAGAGCCAACTACGAATAAAAAGATTTTGATTTTGACTGGTATTACTTTTTTTATAGGATAGGGTAAGCTCACAGTCCACCTGATGGTAAGTGGATGCTGCGGCCCATAGACATCTACATCTATCCTCGATTACGTATCAAAATGCAGGTGCATTGACTATGAGGACTAAGAAAGAATGCCTCGTTTCCAGTAAAATGGGTCTCCGGTGCTCTACACTCACCATACGAGACACAGCAGCATTAACTACTATTATGCTGGTATTCTGTGAGAGCGTAGTCCTTCCCCGGTCGAGCCGACCCATTCGTGTTACAACTATACTACTAATATTACTGCAGTATGGTTCTACTATGTATGTATAAGGTAAATGTTTGACAGGCAAATTAGCAAATATAGTGTATACAAATGTAGTGCAGTATGTAAAAGGAACGCTGTCTCCTAACAAAAGTAATGACGTAAAGAAGTTAATTTGATATCACATACGTACTTTTGTAATCAATGAGTATTGCAGCATCCATTGCGTTATTCCCTACGACCACTAGGGTTAAGTGCTCGTAGGTTATTCCTAAAGCGCTCACTGCCGGGTCGGTACGCGGAAGTAATATTATAACGAATAATATAATTTAATGTTGTAGCCTTAAGGTTGAAATTTGGGTATGTCAAACATTTATTTAGTTATTTATTAGGGATAAGAACAGCCTTCATTCTGTGAAAAAAATCTTATATAATATGTTTTACATAGGTCCAATAATAGTCATCCACTTTTTACAATTTAGCACAAATCAGAAGTATGAAAGATGAAAAAAAAATTACAAATACCTTTAATCCAAAATAATAGTTAATTTAAAATGTTTGTCATGGCTGACCTAGAAAATTATTTATGCTTCAATGGGATAATATTAACATATCACACATATACATATAACCATATTATAATTAAACACTTATACATATAGGCAAGTATATACATATACTAACATTTAAATAAATATGCATACATACGATATACTAATGTACACATTCACATACATACATTATATTAAATTTTTTTTGTGTGAATTAGCGAATTGAAGTCATATAACTTGAGATGTTACTACGGAATTACAAAACTCCACACAAGGCTCCCAACATAAACAATAAGGGTTAATTGTCTACTCCTGTCAAAGCCTGTACTACTTTTAGCTTAAATAAACTTTTTGAATGGATAAATGGGTCAATATGAGAAAATTTACTATTAAAAATTCTAACCATTCTGGTGAGAACACAATTCTTGCCATAATTAGTATGATCTAAGGGAACACCGAATAAAGGTGTATGTCTAGTCCTACGTCGGGGCACTTTAAAGGATATTTGTGAAAGAAGAGCAGGGCAATGAAGTTGAGCGCGTAAAATATCGAACCAAAAACCCATGTCTAAGATCTCACGGCGTTCCGCTAACGTAAGAAGATTAAATTTACGACAAATATCACTGTAAGACATAAATGTGTGTGCAGTGCCGTCGCACCTGAAATTTAGAGATTTTAAAAACTTTTTCTGATTACGCTCTAAACGTGCCTTATAAACTTCATATAAAGGCGACCATATAGGACTAGCGTACTCCAATATGCTTCTCACGTATGCAAAATATTAAATTTACGACAATTTATTGATTGATTGATTCTGGAGATTGATTATGGAATTCGATAGTTAAAGGGCACAGTAGAACTCCGACACATTGATCAATTAAAACTTAGGGCGATAAGTAATGGTTCAAGTTCTATCAAAGTAAACTATTCTTCAAAGGGAGTTTGGTTGTCGCAAGGTGTGGTAGGAATTCCAGAGGGGCGAGTAGGGTTGGAGTAGGTAATTTGTGTCAGGATTTTCAATGCTAAAGTTCCTTTAAAGGGTCGACAGGTTCTTAGAACAAATCCAAGCATACGGTAAGCTGCTATATTATCATATTGCATATTGGAGTCAAAACAAATGCCGAGATCACATACATCATTGACTCGCGTTAATACTTGATTATTAAAGTTATAAGGAAAGTCAATTAAACTTTTCTTGATCGTAAAGCTTATACTCAGACATTTTTCTTGATGAAGATCTTGTTTTGTTGATAATAAGAAAACAGTTTATCCAAATCGTATTGTAACAATCTACAATCTTCAACAGAATTAATTGCCCGATATATTTTTTTATCATCTGTATATAATAGGTGATTGGAATAAGAAAAACAGTTAGCAATGTCAAAGATGTACGCATTGTAGAATAGCGGACCAAGGTGCGATCCCTGAGGGACACCCGAGGGAATAGTTACATAGTCGGATCTGTATCCGCCCAGCACTACAGCTTGAGAGCGATTGGAAATGTAGGAGCACACCCAGTGGAGAAGGTCTCCTTGAATTCCAAGCAAATAGAGCTTGCGGATCAGATCGTGGTCTACACGGTCGAAAGCTTTTTCGAAATCAGTGTAGACCACGTCCACCTGACTACCATTTTCCATATGCAGGAGGACATAACTTGAGAACAGAGACAAATTTGATACCGTAGACCGTCCTTTTATGAGGCCATGCTGTGTATCAGGAATACCACGGATTATAATGGGGTAGATGAACCTGTAAACGATTTTTTCAAAAAGCTTACTGATAGTGTTCAAAATAGAAATTGGACGGTAATTTTCAATTGAGGTTTTTGGTCCTTTTTTTATGTATGGGAATTATATTTACTTTTTTTCCAAAAATCGGGTAAAATACATTCATCGAGAGAACGACAAAACAAAATTGTAATAGGCAATGACAAGCTATCAGCACATGATATCAATACAATAGGGGTAATACCATCGGTTCCAGGTCCCTTAGATTTATCAAGTTATTATAGGAATTTAAGAACTATTTCTCGAGTAATATGTATGCGGGATAATGACTGCGTACTGGAGTACTCAGATGCGTGACGAGGCTGAGTTTGGCTATTTGATGATGGTGTAATAAAAACACTGAAAAAATTTATTAAAAGCTGAACAAATACTTGCACCCTCGTCTTATATCTGACTTCGCAGTGTAAATTTTTTTCTTGGGTAACTGGAACAGCCTTTTTTTCGAACATACATATTTTCAAAAGTGTTTAGGATTGGACCTAATATATTGTTCAGAATTGTTTGTAAAAAAAGTTAAAACAACTAAATTGAATACGGTGTTGTCGTGCTCTTAAAAGCGAAAATTTATCATAATCTCTTGGGTTACGGTATTTTTTCCAATTACAATGAGCGCGCCATTTTTTGCGAATGATTTTTATTAGTGAAGAAGAAAACCATACAGGATAATAATGTCGGTTGTTACGGTGGTGGTACGTAAATGGAGAAACATTCATGTAATTTACTATAAAAAATATCTACGGCTTCATTAATTGTGTCGGCGGCATTTAATTCTGAGCGCCAATCAATATTTTTAAAATAATTATTCACCTTATCATAGTCACATTTGAAAAAAGTTAAAACGCGGATTTTTACGTATTTTAAAGGGTTGTATGCTAAAATCAGGTATTTCAATATTTAATGCAGGATGTGGATGGATATGGATATATATCTTACTTTATGAGTGGTAAAGAAGTTCTAACAACTAATGGCAAATTGCAAAAACATAGATCCGGAATGTTACCTTTTGAGTTACAATTATAATTATATTGCTTGAGACCGAGGTACCCTAAATCGTCAACGAAAGATATCGCTAAATTATCCATAAAAGATGAAACGTCTACGTGTTGGAGTTGGAGTATTGTTGGAGTCCCATCTCAAACACGGTAAGTTAAAATCTCCCACCAGTAAAAAAATGTCCATGGGATAATTGTCAATGCAATGCGATAAGTTTTGCTTAATATCATTCAATCCCCTCTGTATTACGTTCGAGTCAGGAGGAATATACGCTATAGCTATATGTAAATCGACTGAGGACCCAAGCGTACTTGAAGGTAAAGTCACGCACACCGACTCATGCGTTGTACGTGCACTGGACCTAAGGATCTCCTAGGTGTGCGTTACTTGCAGTATACAGTGGCTGCAATTAACCGCCGGTACGACATACTCCGCCGGACGTCGAGTCCCGTGATTCCGTGAGGCGTCGAGGTCACCGGCCCCTAGGTGATTCTTGGCACTTTATGCGTTTCGTGCATTCTGTGCCTAGTCGCGCATTAAAGTGCCACCTTTGCACTTCCCCCAACCCTTTCGTTGTGAAAGGGGTAGGCAGTGCCCATAGTGTAGAAAGTCTCTATAATATTATCACCACCATCCGCGTCGCGCATCAATATCTGCCGCCGATCGTTTGGAAGATAGATAGGGCCTTAGTTAGATTACCGCTGACGCTGACTGTTAGGTTAGGATGTCAGGGAACGATAAGGGGGAACCTCCTCCGAGATCGAGGAAACC